AATCAAAACGTTGCGTTGCAAGGGAGGTGTACGTGGCGCGTTCAGAACGCTTGGATTGAGGGACCAGGTCAAGTCTTCAACACGCGTGGATGGCTAAGATTATCTCTCCTACCTTTTAAATTTCTGCAAATCTCCCTCTGCGCGCGCGAACCAGACCATCGCCGGTGGCTTTTCCGGCCACCATCACGCAACCCTAACTTCATCTATAGCCAACCATTCGCCACGAGTTCTACATGGATCTTGACCATAATTTCACCAGGAACTCATCCATACCATTCATTCACTCTAAAAATGCAAGAATCTTGAGATAACCATCTCAACCGAAAATGAAATTAACCCTAAATTGTCTCTAACGTTGAAATTAACTACCCAAAATCCATCTAGATCATGAATAGAACCTAACCGCATGCTTCTAGTTCATTGAAAACACATAATCAGAGAGAGATTTCAAGAAGTTAAAACCTGGCTTTGAACTTGGATTGCAATGGATTCAAGCCTCAATTCTCTTCCAAATCGTCCAGAAACCTTCAGTGTTCAATGGTGAATGCTCCTTGATGCTCAATTCCAGTTGAAAACTCTTGATTCTCCAAAATGAAATTTCAATTCCAAGCTTTCTTCTTCACTTCTTTCCAATGGCTTCTCCACGAAAATGATCACCAGAACCTTCCAATTCTGTTCTAAATCCTATTTATGATCTGTTTCAATGGATTAGAGGCCCAAACCAGGCTCATTCATGAGTTTTGGATTTTCACCTTTCTTCCAAATTTTCAATATGGATATCCACCTTCAAGCCTTGTTCATTCTCCAAACTCAGTCCCAATCATTCACTTAAGCCTTGTGGAATGTAGTGATGTGGTTTCCTTCCTTTGATTTCAACCTATGGAGTGTGTGAGATGTGTTTCTTATTTGTGAAGAAACCTTCCAAATAGCCATGTTATGGACTTCAAACCAAAAATGTAATAATGCCAATCTCCTTAGAACATCAATTCCATTCAAAATGACTACAAATTTGACTTGAAAACATGTTATTCTCACTTGTTTTGAATTTTCTCATCTTAATTCATTAAAATGGCTTTTATGTGAACTTTCTTCCACCAATGCTTGATATGATCCATATCAATGTAATCTTGATACCTAGACAAGCTAAAAACACCATTTTGAACAACTTTCATGTTGAACAAAAATCCATTTGAAGCTTGCAAGATGGTGAAATTGACTTAAGATTCAAAATGACCTGTAATGTCCAAATACCCAAAATACCCTTGACTTGTCAAAGCCATAACTTGAGTTCTACACATCCAATCATGGACTTCTAGTACTCTTTAGAAATCTAAGAGAATAAGGAACAACATTCATGTTGACCAAAAGTTCATAGGAATCATCCTTCTAGGGCAAAAGTGTTATACAAGTTGGGTAACTTTCAAGCTCCAAATTCACATTCCTCAGATGACTTGTAACTTGTCTGGCTCATAACTTGAGTTCTATAGATCCTATCAAGGACTTATAGTACTCAAATTAAAGATAAGCTCATGCTCTAAAAAAATCATGTTGGGGTCAAGATGAGATGAAAATAACATCTTGATTTAAATAGTCTTGAAGTCAGGGGTCAAACTAGGGGATTTTACACTGTCAAGTCTTAGAAACCCTAGCCTGAAACTTCTCAAAATCTTCAATCATGATGAGTTAACCTTAAAATAATTCTTAGAGCATCTCAATGTATCAATCCATGATCACATGGCTCTTGAATTAGGTCTCAACCTCCTTCAAATCCTCAATTGACTTAGGGTTGACCCAGTCAAACCCTAGCTGCACCAATCATGGCTGAGGCTTCTTATTCTTACACAATGACCTGTCTAGGCCTCAAAGTGATCTTTAACACTTCTCATGAGCTCTCTCAAGACCTCAAGTCCATATCCATGACCTCAGAATCATCTGATGGCTTTCCACAACTCTCAAGTTAGGAGACCTACACACTTGGTTTCAACCACTCTCTTTGAGGATCTTTTAACTTCTCTGACAAGGATATCAACCCTTGAGCACTTGAATAGCCTTCTTAGCTAGCTTCATAGTCTTGTATAGCTCTTTATTGGTAATCATACCTCTTGATCTCCTGCACATATGTCAATGAAATGCAAATGATAATGCTAATGTGAATGAAATGAAACATAAGCTAGGTAAAGAAATGTTGGGCAAATTTTGGGGTGCAACAGTTTAAACTAACAAATTTATATAAACCCTAAATCTGAACCTCTACCAGAAAACCCTAAATCAGAGAGAAATGAACTAACCTTTTGAGATTGGCTCTTGAATCGTATTCAATCCTCAATCAAAAAACCAGGTCTTCTTCTTCAATAGTCTTCTTCTTGAATCGTCTTCAATCTTCAATCGTCTTCAATCTTCAATCGTCTTCAATCTTCAAGCGTCTGCTCTTGAATCATTCCTTCTTCTTCTTGAATCGTTCCTTCAATCTTCAAGTGTCTGCTCTTGAACACCAGAATCGTAAGTAATGAACACCAGGATCGTGCCCTCTTGAATCGTCTTCACTTCCACTAAGACACTTCACTTCACTTCCACCTCAACACTCCACATGGACAAACGTGGCAATTTTTTCAAAAACAAACTAACGACAACACATGGAAGGATAAACATGACACCATTTTAAAAGTTAAAGGACCAATTTGACACTTTTTAAAGATAAGGGACCAAAATGGACCCCGAGGTAAAGTTAAGGGACCAAAAAATTTATTTTGCCTAAAAAAAATGTGAATGTATTACCAATATTTTAATTTGGTTGAGTTTTTTATTCACAAGTTTGGAATTTTTTTTCTTTCAAATATTACCATTGTGGCTATTTTTAATAAATTATACTATTGTTATAATATTTTAATAACTGTGGCCCCTCTCATAAATAAAAAATTTAATCTTATTATTTATTTATTTATTTGAAATGAAATTAACATTCTTGCAAAAAAAATTTTTTTTTCTATATGCTACTTGCAAGAATAATAACTTCACATTAGAAAAATTAAATGAATAATATGATTAAAATTTCTAGTTTGTTAATATCCAAGAGGGGTCACAATTATTAAAATATTATAATAGTAGTAAAATTTATTTAAAATAGTCACGAGTAAAACAAAATTGTAATAAATAAATCAACCAAATTAAAATATAGGTAATATTTTCACTTTTTTTTTTAAATATTATTAATTAAATATAGGTGATAAATTAAATGAAAATATCTTTTTTCTTATAAAAATATTTTTAATCAAATGAAAATATAGGTGATAAATCAATAATGTATTTTCATTTAAAATTGTCACGATAGTAGAACTTGCAAAAATCAAAAATTTATAATCCGCAAATAAATAAATAGCCAAATTAAAATAAAGATAACAATTTTATGACGTTCAATATTTTTAATCAAGTAAAATTATAGGTGATAAACTAATAAATATGTTTCTAAAAAGATGCAGAGATACAAAATTCTAAACAATAAATAATAATATCGAAAAATCCTTAACAATACAAAAATATAGAATATAATTTTTTTAGTAAATAATAATATATGGAATTCCCTAAAAATACAATAAATAATAATAGCAAAAAAATTGTATATTTTAGACGTCTATATTTTAGTAAAATAAATAATATCAAAATTCTATAACAATAAAAAAATTGATTTTTTTTACCATAGATATAAGGAATCAAGAGAGTTTTAAAAAAAGTGTACAGATCATAGACAAACTAAAATTGATATGTTAATTGTAAAATTAAATATCATATTAAAAAATATTTTTGGTAAGATTTTATTTTTGTAAAAATTTTAAATATTAAACATAATAGGAAAATTCAATAAAATATTATTAATATGAAATTATTAAATTTTAAACGTTAATTAAATATAATAATTAATATTAATAATTCTCATTTCTCATAAAAATGAAAAGGTATAATGTTTCACCAAATATTAATCTTCCTGTATATAAAATGCCCTAGTACGATCCTTTATGACAACATATTACCTATTCATATTACCAACAATTACGTGTTCCATAAACATATGAAACACATAAAAATGAATTGCGACTTGGTTAGAAACAAAGTTCGAGACAACAACACATGTTACCTTACTTAATAAAGTTGTAGGCATATTCACCAAACCTCTCCACCTATCTCATTTCTTCCCACTTTTATGCAGACTTGAAATGATCAAGATCCACTATATCTTTATGCAAACTTGAAATGATCAACATCAATTCTAATTTGAGAAAGGGTGTTATTGATAGCTAAATTATTATTTAAGTTGTTTAACTTAATTCTTTCATTATTGAGTTTGTTAAATTTGTTATCCTAATTCTTTTCATTGGTTGTTATTGCTGACCCCATATATATTATTGAGTCTCACTTTGTATAGCTAATTTTTTTTTGTTAAGCTCAAAAATGAAACTTATTCCTAAATATCATTTTCAATAATGTCCGCTTTGCATTCTTTCTTCATTTCTACAAAGTTCATCCCATAATTTTTATTAGGCTTGATCATTGGTATTGTTCATACTTAACTACTTAAAAAGAACCATTCACTACAACTTGGATTATGCATAATTGGCAATGGATCATTTTCGAAGGTGGTTCATGGAACACCAAACTTAAACTGGTAGATTGATCTATACTTCTCCAAAATATAGTGCACTCTCCACATTGTATCTTTTTCCTACCAATGTAGCCATCAAAATAAACACATTCATTAAACAACGCAAAAACAACTAGCTAAGGACATAAGATTGAATTATTGCACCATCAGCTTAACAAGATGTTTCAGTCTATCAAGCCAGTGGCTTGTATTATTATTTGATAAATGGTATGAAGATATTGGTTATGTACAAAAGACCAAATAAGAGGTCAAGAGAAACTGCATTTTGTACAAGTGGTAATCAAAATGAAAAGAAAGAAGACTTAGGTAGAAAGAAATCAATCTCCATTGCCTGGCCTAACAGTAACTAGTGGGACGGCGGCGGTGAACTCACTGATGCTTTGCAAATAGGGCACCAGTTCTTTAGCCGCAGCCATTGCTGTATGCAAGCCATGTGATACTTGTGTTCGCATTGCAGACTCCCGACTTCTTCCTCCAACGCATATTCCTCCTACAAATCATTTTAACTAAATCAGATCAAGTAACCATGGTGGCAGCAGCTACGCCAGATTTGACATAAATTTTTTCTAGTTGATAACAGAAGCAATAACATTTTCATTCAAAAACTGGCAAATTTGAAAGTTTAAACAAAATTAAGAGAGAAAAAAGTACCTGGCAGATGCTGCATTTGATATCATCTTTAGACGCACTGTCAGAGTATTGATAGGAACTTCTCTTTAGGCATTCCGAGAGAGCTTCCTCTGTTACAGCTGTGCTCACAGTCCCCATCCTGTCTTCCAGAGCAAGTAGTTCCTAGAAATTTTTAAGATATTGTTAATATGACTTAAAATTATGTTATAATCCTCATACTTCTGTAATTACATGCATTCTTAAAAATATTTTCATCTGATTTTAAAACAACCTTCAAATATTGACACTAAGATAATTGTGAAATTAAACACTCAACACAAAGCAACAAAATGAATTGTGACACCATGCGGCATTACAGACCTCGTATGACATATTGTCAATATCCAGTCGCATGTCTCTATGCTGATCGTAGAAGCTTAATCCAGTAAGGAACAAGTTGGACTCCAGCAAAAGAATTTGCTATTAAGACAACAAATTAATCAAATAACTGATATATTAAGTAAATCAAACAAAATTTTAATTAAGAAATACCTCGTGTGTCAGCTCGGCATCTTGTTCAATCCTCTCAAGTGCCAACAATACCTAAATACAATTTAGAAAACAGTAATTTAGTTCTGAACATTGACATTAAGGACCATGATGATATATAATATGCAATTCCTATGTTTAAATGAAAATTACCTCTGCAATACCATCCATGTTGTAGCGTCGTCGAAAGCTATCCCGATTCATTAGAGAATGAGTGAGGCTATATTCTGTAGGAGTTATAACACCATATAACTCCTCGCTGCTAGTACCTGCTCCACTGTAAGAGCTTGGACTTGAAGGAGTCTCCGAAGAACTACGATCTTGTACACCAAGGGCATTACCATTGCCAGAATGAGAAAATGAAGGAACCATGATAAGAGACTGCTGATTAGGTACCACGGGATTAGCATTTCCTTGACTAGAAAGCCTTCCCCTAGCATGACTGCCAATTGATCTTCGTGTCCTAACAGACACCGTGTTGTTGTCTGGCCTTTCCCTGTTAGGGGCATTTCTAGATATTCTTGAATCAGAGATAGATATGCCATTTCGGGAAACAGAATTTCGTCCTTCGCCTGAGGGTCCGCTAATTTTTTTCCCTCTAGCTGTAGAACTACTTTCCCCTTCACAATTCCTCTTTTTTATAGAATCATTTCTTCTGTTAAGGTTTGAATCTGATGGTGCACAACCGGCAGGGACGACATCAGAGACGGAGTTGCATTTGAGGTTTCTTAACCCATACCTATTGGTACCAGCACGTGTCCCTGGACCAGTGCTTTGAATTTCTTGACTACGTAATCCAGGTTTCGGATGAAAATTCCTCCTAGATCTTGTATTAGATGCTACACTAGAACTCCCTACTTCCTGGACCCGTGTTTCACCCTCTGCTTGAAGGCCCCTCTGACTTTTTTCAGGTGGAGGTGAGGGCTTTGAAACTTCTGGGTCATCTTGTACGCTACTAGTTTCAGATGAATCTATCTCTAAATGAGACGATAACGTTTTCTGAGGCTTCCTATGGGGTTTTCCTAGGTTACTACTCCCCGAGGAAGTTTTAGAGGAGCTACCAATTGTTTCCTTACCATTTGATGAGAAACGAAATGAAGGCCGCAAAGATTTACCCTTTTCAGACGAACCTATTTGAGAACCTTTAGAAGAGCCGACTTTGCTGCTGCAACCAAGGCGGCTACATACTTGACCATTTCGAGTGTTTACAGTATCTTTTAACATACTGCTGCCTATCCCCTTTCTGGGGACTATCACCCCATCATTGGCTCTTTTACCATCCATCAATATTCAACAGTTTATTCCTTTCAAATCTGAAACATTGACATGAGGTAGATAATCAAATTGTGGATTGTAAGATGCATTATATTTACATAAACTAAGACAGAAAACTAGCATGTTTATTCATAGCAATGACTTATATGCATAAGTCAATTTTGAATTGAAACAGAAAATCACAAACCAATACATAATCAAAAGATGAAGACGAAATCCAAGCGCGAAAAACCATATTCAGACAAACTACAAAGCAACATTTTTTACTAAGAAACCGAAAAAACCCGTTTGCTCAAAATCAATCAACTTCGAATTTTCTCAGAGTGAAATAACAATAACTGAATGAGAAAAAACAAAAAGTAACCACATAGTTATGATTGATCATCAGAAAAATTGGGATGTCGCTTCATTTTTCAAAGGACAAAGCTATTCATCCAATCTTCTCCACACAATCATACCTATTTCACCGCTGAAATTAACTTCAAAATCAAAACTATGACTATACTCACAAAAAATAAATAATAATAATAATAATAATAATAATAAAAATAAAAAACTCAATCAAAAAACAAAATAACAAAAATATTATAAAAAAAATCAAACCACAAATTCAATTTCTATCAAACCTTTTCCTCAACCAAACACTTCCATCAATTAATTTCAACGAAACCAAAGATTATTTCATCATATAAAAAAATATCAAAATAAAAATACGTATATTATTCAATTTATTTATTTTTTATTTTTTTTAATTTATTGTATCATCATCATCATGCTATATATAGATATCGACGTGGAACAACGCCGAAAAAATTGATATATACAAAAAAAAAATCATCGAGTTTTTTTAATTAAGGTAAATAGAAAAATAGCGTTGAAATTTCAAAATTTGTTGACGGAGAAATTTGAATTTCTGAGCTACCTTTTCACGACGGCGAGGTTCTTTTTCTTCTTCCGGTTGTTCCGTGTTAGAAGCTTTAGAAGAAAGAGAAAGAGAGAGAATTTGCATAGAAAGTTTTTTAGAGAGAGAAAGCAAAGTCCCGTAAGCAAAGAACGAAGCTGTTTAAAGTTTTAATACTAACAAATAAATAAATAACTTTTATTCAGTTTTAATACTAACAAATAAATAAATAACTTTTATTTTTTAATTAATTTTTTTATTTTGTTAAGGAAGTGGAACTAAAATTTGTTAGAGGAAACGAAAAGGGTAATAGTGGCGCCGTCCTGGTTGAAAAGTGAGGGGAAAGAGATGTGGACCGTTGATTTTGAGAGATGGGAAAATGGAGGGTTAGGATTGAGTGTGATGTGATAGAGTCGAAGAAACGTGGTACATTGTGCCGGCGGGACACGAAAGAAATGGAGAATGAGAAGGAATGAATGAATAATAATTCCCATGTCTTTTCGGGATTCGTTGGATTAATTGAAGTAACAAAATCACGCAATTAAAGGCATTAACAACTTTTAATTTGTTAAGTCATCTTTAAATACTTCACGGGCCTTTTTTTTTTTCTTTTTCTTGGAGCGTTTTCATTGGAGTATATTTCAAACATTATTATTAAATATTGCAATGCCTTAACTAATATTAAAAATTAAAATTTAGAATAATCCTAACTTATGTCCTAAGGATATTGATCGTACCTGATCAGAAAGGAATCAGTGATCTGTCACGCGTCGTTGATCTGCTAACTGCTCACCGAAGATATGAAAGAGGGTTGATCTGCTAACTGCTCACCGAAGATATGAAAGAGGAGGAGGGTGTACCTGAAACACACTCTGATATCAAAGTAAGTGACGAGCAGAGTGGAAGCAAGTACAGAGAGAGAGTAAGAGAGTTAAATTATCTGACCCTCTAGTGAAGATGGTATTTATAGTGAGCCCCCAGCGCAAGGCCAACGGTTTCCTAGCATTGACTGGGCTCTCAGGCCTAATGTTAGTAACTGTTAGGGCTGATGTGGCGTCGTGAAGACCAGCATGTGGTATGCGCCCTAGGGTAACTGTCTCGCGCTATCCGGAAGGAGGAAGACCGAATCTCTAGGACGTGGGTAGTTACTTTATGACGTGTCCCTGCGTGAGGGGCACGTGGAGAACGCGGGGGGAGGCTCGAGGAGCTCCCCGGGCAGGCTGGATTCTACCCAACGATGGGGAGGAAGAGACTGGTTGGTCGGCTGTAAGGGTCCTGCCCGACAGCTGTTGGCCTATGCCCGACGGGGGGAAGGTTGTGCTCGGAGGAGTTTCTGCCCGTCGGCGTGGTACTCTTGGGCCCAAACCTCATTGAGGTTTGGGTCTGTTTGGTTGTGGGTTAAGCGTCGGCCCAATCTAGAACATGTATATATTAAGAAATTCATAAATAGAAAATTTGTATTAGAAAAAATGATAAAAGAATTAATTATAAATTTTTGATAAAAATAATATACAAATTCCAAAAAAACATTTCTACATTTAGTTTTAACATATGCCCTCTGAGCACATGTTAGTATTATCTTAAAAATTAATATTTATTTTTTCAGTTCTGGTTTTTTCTATATTTATTGTCACAAGGTTTTATGTAAATTTAGTTCACATTATTTTACTTAATTTTAAAAAAAATATTAAAGTATACCTAAATTTTAATTACATGGATATGGATATGTTGTTAATATGCGATTTTTAGTTGAGTGAAAAATCAATGAATTGATGGTCATGGTTACGTTGATATTATTAAGTGTCTAAATCTTATGGCAAAAGATTTGACATATTGATTATATTGACCTATAAGTGGAGTTGAGGTCAAGAATTGTTTGGAGGAGTCTCAATAACATATCCACAAGATTAGAATCACTTTCTTTTTCAAACATGTTTAAAATCGTGAAAGATCGCATAGCAACCCTTCGACACAATGTCAAAGTTGCCACTTTTAAGTATTAAGGACTTAGAATATTTTCAAGCTCAAAGACTATGTGATGTGGAGATGTTCCAGCCTTCGACTATGGCAGTTAAAGCGTTCAAAAACGATTATCAAGGCAGTTATTACCACATTTTGTTTGGTTTTCAGTAGTTTCTCTTTGAAGACGTGTGGAAGCAAGTTAGAGCAAAACAACTCCACGTAGTAAGACACGCGTCGAAGACGTAACCAACAAACTTTGTCGACGATTATCATAGGATTAGTATATAAGCAGACTCGAGCCTTGAATTAGAGATCACAAAATTTTCATTCATTCTCTATAGAGCTAAAGTACCCAAGTTATCAAGCGAACCAGTTTGTGAGAAATGTGAGTCTGCATCCACAATTTAAATTCTCTACAAATCTTTTGTATTCCAAGCATTTACAATAATTAATGCCATTCACTTTATTTATTTTGTTGATTGCTTATTGTCTTTATCCAAAGTCTATTGTTTGCATTCAATTATATTGTGAATCAGATGCCTTGAAATAAAAATATAAATGATTTCTTTATGATCAAGAAACACACAAGGGTTAGGGTTAACAAAGAAAATAAGGTAAAACAACAAGGAACAACAAGGATTGATTATAAACTGTTATTCTTTCCTTACTCTTAGAATAAGATTACAAGTATACAAGAATAACAAATAACCTCTCTCGCTTGAAATTAGGATTTTATCTTCCTATTTTTTCTTATGCCAAGATTAAGAAACTAGCATCCTATTTATAAGAAAAATAACACACTAACCTAATGGGTTTTTTAACAATTACCCATACAAGCTAACTTAGGTTACAAGCTAACTTAAACATTTAGGCATACAAGCAAGGCCCAATCCAATATGGTAATAACCTAGCAATATTGACTAATGCATGTTAGAATAAACTTCGACTACAACACGCATTATCTTCGACAGCAGTATGCAAACAGACTTCAACCTCGTGCTTAATTCCTGTCGAACTAGAAGATACCATTCGGCCATACTAGAGTTCGATCCAACATCTCATAAATATCCACCTTGGATCTAACTCTATAACATCAAGAAACTAGCTTTCTTCGTGTAGCTTTATCAACTGCATATAGTGAAAAAACATGCAACTAAGTAACATCTTGGTGATCATATCAACAACATTATGATCTGTCGGAACCTTTAGCACTTGAACTTCTCCATGCTCGATTACCCCTCTAATGAAATGCAGCCTCATATCAATATGCTTGGTTCGATCATGATAGTCTGAATTCTTTGACAGGTGTATTGCACTTTGACTATCACATTTAACAGTGATAACTCGACCTTGAAGTTTTAGCTCCTTTGCAAAACCTTCAAGCCATAATGCTTCCTTTACAGCTTCAGTTAGGGAAATATACTCCGCTTCAGTGGTTGATAAGGCAACAAACTTCTGAAGTTTTGCTTTCCAACTGATTATTGTTTCAAACATAGTGAATACATATCCAGAAATAGATTTTCTAGAATCCATACAACCTGCATAATCAGATTCGACATATCCTTCGATTGCTGCTTTACTATCTTCACCCAAGGCTCCATCATAAATTAGGACTCTATTCAGAGACCCATTTATATACCTAAAAATCCACTTCAATGCTTGCCAGTGAGCCTTTCCAGGATTCGCCATGTACCTGCTTATAAGACTTACTGCATATGTTATGTCGGGTCTAGTACAAACGAAAACATACATCAAAGAACCTACTATGTTAGCATATGGAATGCTATTCATATAAGTTCTTTCAACATCAGTGATGGGAGACTGATCTATATTCAGCTTGAATTAAGAGTTTGTCGGAGTCACAACAGGCTTTGAATTTGACATACCAAACTTTTCGAGGACCTTACGTAGGTATGCCTCTTGAGATAAGCATAATCTCGACTACTTTCAATCTCTTCGGGTGTCAATTCTAAGAATCCTGGACGCAACTCCCAGATCCTTCATGTCGAACTTCTTATTGAGTTCAGCATTCATCCTCATTACCTCTTGTCGCTACCACGAAAATAAGGTGCCGACAAAACAGAAGAGTCGCCACCTTTCGTTATTTATCCCATAGAATGATAAAGGAAACGATCGAAAAAACCTG